TCAATTACCAGCTTTTAGAACAGAAACCTAATGAAGTACAAAGTTGATTTCCAGAAGCAGGTAAGTCATGTGATAAGTCGATGAGTTGGATTTTCATGAAACTTTCTAAACAAAGTCTTTCATTAGGAGAGGATTGACAATAATTAAGGACGTTTTTAGTAAGAAGATGTTGAGAAGTACCTTTAGCGATTTTGTCAATGACGTAATTTCCAATATTTTCACAGATGGAACAAATTTGCTGAAGAGAGTTTGTGTCATTGACAATTGAGATTAAATATTTACCGTTTGGATTTCTTAATTCTTTGATGAGATTATTGAGAATGACATTTATGTGTTTATTTTGATGACGCCTAATTTTAATATCATTGGTAAGGGATTTAATGTTGTTGTCATAGAATTTACGGGATATTTGACAAACGATTGTGTCTCTCATTTTAAGAAGTTTTTTTATTCTGATTTGATCAATCTTTAGTTTTCGTTCAAAAAGACGATTCATTTCAAGTAAGTACTTTTCAATATTTATTGCTTTTTTAATGGCTTCTTCACCAACTAATTTTAATTTTTCTTCTTCTTTCTTAATCTTTTTGTAAATTTTATCTCTTCTCATATAAAATTTAGGACTTAATTTTCCTTTACATTTAGATACTCTTTTACTAAGATTTTGTGCACTTCGTTTATATTTAATTAAGACATTATTAATTACATCTTTTTTATGAATAATAACTTGTGCCTCATGAATCATTATTTTTTCAAATTCTTCAATTCTTTTTCTTATAATTTCTTCATTATATCTTTCAACTTTTTGTTTCATTGTTTTTTCAATAATATTTAATGGTTGTAAACTTTTATTAATGTCTCGCATTTTATTTGTTGCATTTCTAATTTCTTCTTTAGTACCACTATTTGTTTTTTTAATAATTTTATTAACTAATCTTTGAATTCTTTTCTTTTTATCTTTTATTATTTGGATTTTTCTTTGAAGTTCTTTTCTAATCCATTCGACATTTTCTTTTCTTTGTTGTTTAATTTCTTCAATTTCTTTTCTTCTTTCTTCATTTCTTTCTTCTTCTTGTTTAATTCTTTCGGAAATTTTTTTAATTCTTTCTTGATTTTCTTCTATTTCTTTAATTCTATCTTTTGTTATTCCTTTACATTTCTTTCTACTAATATCTTTATTCCTTCCTTTGATTATATCTTTCCTTCTATTTAATAAACTTATTCGTTTTTCTAAATTAAAATATTCAAATTCTAATTCTTCAATCCTTTCTTTTTGTTTGATACTTAATTCTTCTTTTGCTTCAATAACTTCTTTTGTTTTTTTCTTTCTTTTTCCTTCTTCTTTCTTAACTTCGGAAATCGCTTCTTCCATTCGTTTTTTTCTTATTATCTCTCGTTCTTTTTTCATATATTCACTTCTTCTTTCTAAATCAATAATATCCCTTTGTATTTGTTTGATTCGCATTTCTCTTACTCGACTCTCTTCTAATATTTTTCCTGTTTCTAATTCACTTAGTGTTTGATTTCTTTTTAATATTTCATATTCTTTTTTGGCTCTCTCTTCACTTATTTTCTTTTCTTTCTTAAGTTCTTTTCTAATACTATGAATCTTTTCCATTATATTACTAATCTCTTCTTCTTCTTGTTTTTCTATTTTATTTTTACTTTCTCTTATAATCTCTTTTTCCGTTTTAATCCCTTCTTTTATATTACTTTTCTTTTCTTTGATTCTTATTTTTTTCTTTTCAATTTCTTTATTAATATCTTCTCTTTCTTCTTGGTAATAGTCTTTAACTGCTTCTACTTCACTTTTACTAATTTTATTCTCAATTCTCTTCTTTTCATTTTCCAATTTACTAATATCACTCTCAATCATTATTATTTCTTGTTGACTTTTTTCTCTTTCTTCTTCTATTTCTTTCATTCTTTCTTCACTTCTTTCAATAACACTTTCTACAAATGATGGTTCTTTAATATTATTAACAAGTTCTTTACTTTTCTCTTCAAGTATTTCAATTTCTCTGCTATCTCGGAATATGGTGTCTTTCATATTATTTAATCTTTCTTGTTCTTCTCTATTGCTACATGTTCGATATTTTGAAACCTCACTTCTCATTTTCTCGCTTCGATCTTTTAATCCCTTTATTTCTTCTTCTATTCTGCAATATAAAACAGTTGAGATTTTTTTTCTTCTTATTTCTCTTAATAAATGTTCAATATGATACTTAGGCATTTTATTTCTTGTTGAGTTAATCAGTTCTCGATATTTGTACTCTCTTAAATTCAATTCATCCATAATTTTATTCCCAAGACTGCACGATTGATTTATTTCGCTTCTTTTCGTGTCTGTTGTGTTTGTGCTTATTTCATTGGCATAAATAATGACAACAAAACCAAATAAAATGAAAAGACTGCTTCTCATTGTTATAAAATAATATGATTCTTTTTTTTTTCTTCTTTTTTTTCTTTTTTTCTTTTTTT